GTATAGTTTCCAGAGTTTCACTTGTTATTGGTTTCTAGTTTTAACCCATTGTGGTCTGAAAAGATACTTGAAATGATTTCAGTTTTTTAAAATTTGTTGAGACTTGATTTGTGACCTAACATGTGGTCTGGCCTGGTGTATGCTCCATGTGCTAATGAGAATAATGCATATTCTATAATTTTAGGATGAAATGTTCTGTAGATATCCTCCAGGTCTAATTAACTGTTCTAAAATGTAGTTTAAATCCTGTGTTTTTCTATTTTTTTGTTGACTAGATGATTTGTCCAGTGCTGTCAGAGGGGTGTTTGGGTCCATAACTGTTATTATACTGGGGTCTCTTTCTTTAGGCCTAATAGTGTTTGCCTCACATATCTGGGTGCTCTTTTGTGGGTGCATATATATTTATGATTATTATGTCTTCTTGCTGGATGGATCTCTTTATTGTTATATAGCAACCTTCTTTGTCTCTTTTGATGGTTTTTGGTTTAAAGTCTATTTTATCAATATAAGAATAGCTACTCCTGCTCGTTTTTTGGTTTCCATTTCCATATCTTTTCCCATCTCTTCACTATTAGTCTGTGTGTGTCTTCACAGGTGAGGTGAGTCTCTTGAAGACAGCATATATGGTTGGTCTAGCTTTTTAATCCAATCAGTCAGTCTGTGCCTTTTGAGTGGGGAGTTTAATCTATTTACATTTAGGGTTGCTATTGAAAGTCATTGTCTTACTCCTGGCATTTTATCAATTTTTGTTTAGATACTTTAAACATCTTTCGTTCCTCTCTTCCCCTTCTACTATTTGTCCTAGATGTTTTTGGTTTTCTGAGGTGGTAAGATTTAGTTTCTTTCACTTTCTTGTTTGAATTTTTGTTCACCAGTGAGTTTTGTTCTTTTTTGTGTGTTTATGGTAGTGATAATCAGTTTTTGGATTCCAGATACAGGACTCCCTTGAGGATTTCCTGCAGGGCAGGTCAGTGGTGGTGAATTCCCACAGTTTTTGTTTGTCTGGGAAATACACTATTTCTCCCTCATTTCTGAAGGATGTCCTTGCCTGGTATAGTATTCTTGGCTGGCAGTTTTTTTCTTTTAGTATTTCGAATATATCATCCCATTTTCTTCTGGACTGTAGAGTTTCTGTAGAGAAGTCTGCTGTTAGTCTGATAGGATCTCCCTTATAGGTGACTTGATGCTTTTCTGTTGCTTCTTTTAAGATTCTCTCTTTGTCTTTGAGCTTTGCCAGTTTGACTATAATGTGTCTTGGGGAGAATAATTTTGGATTCAATCAGTTTGAGGCCCCTGGATCTGAAGGTCTATGTCTCTCCTTATACCTGGGAAGATTTTTATTATTATTTCACTGAATAGGTTTTCAATACCTTTTCTTTTCTCCTCCCCTTCTGAAATAGCCATGATTTGTATGCTCGTGTATTTAAGGTTGTTTCCTAGCTCTCTAATATTTTCTTCATTTTTAAAAATTCTTTTCCTTGTTTTTTTTTTTTTGTCCATCTGTGTTATTCCATAAAGAACATCCTCAAGATCTCTAATTCTTCTGCTTGCTCTAACCTGCTGCTTATCAAGCTCACAGTTGTGGTTTTTTGTTGATGTTAGATGAATCCTTCAGTTCCAAGAGTTCTGCTACACTCTTTTTTAAGGTATCAATCTCTTTGTAAATTTCATCCTTTGTATCCTGGAAATTTTTTCTCATTTCATTCTGTTGTCTGAGTCTTCTTGTATTTCATTGAGTTTCCTTAAGTTTGTTGCTCAGAATTTCTTTTCAGTCATTTCAAGGTTTTCCTGCTCCATGGGGCCTGGTACTTGAGAGTTACTGCATTCCTTTGGTGGTGTCATATTTCCTTGATTTCTCATATCTCTACATTGATGACTGGGCATCTGGTAGAGCAGCTGCTTCTTTTATTACTCTGGAATGGCCTTTGAGGAAAGAGAATTCCTCTTTTTTTTTTTTTTTTTTCAGTCCACTGGTGATTCTCCATGTGTCAGTGTAGTTGAGTGGCTGGCAGGCCACCTGCACAGTGCCTGTGGCTGCTACCGCGGCAGCAAGCCAACCTTGCAGAGGCGGTGGCTGTGGTGGACCACCCAATTGGAAGTGGTGTTCATGGCATGCTACTCTCTTCTGCTGGGCAGTGGGGGCTGCCTTCAGCCTGAACTTTTTTATTATAAAAATTAAATAAAAATAAGAAGATATTATGAATGCTAATAGTTATATGAAATAAATAAATTGAATCAGCAGCTTAAAATATTTCCACAAAAAACAAATTTACCTGGTTTAACAGTAAGGTAAAGGAACAGATAATCTTAAAGAAATGACTCAAGAATACAGAAAAAGAGGTTACACACTCCACTCATTTTTAAGATGCTAATATAAATTTGACATCAAAACCTGACAAATAATGAGAAAGAAAATTACAGGCCAATCTCACTCATGAAAATATCAATAGGTGCAAAAACACTGAACAAAGTATTAGTAAAGTAAATCCAGCAATGTTTAAAAACCTTAATACATGATGACTAAATTGAGATTAATCCAAGGAATGCAAAGTTTGCTTAACATCGGAAAAATCAATGAAGATAGTTCACCACATTAACAAATTAAAAAAAATTATATTATCTTAACAGATGCAGAAAAACACATTTAATAGATTTCCACATTTATTCATGATTAAAACTCTTAGCATTCCAGACTGAAGAAGACTGAAGAGATATGACAACTAAATGCAATACATAATGTTAGACTGAATTTTAGATCAGGAGAAAAATTACTGTAAAGGATATTATTGGGGAAATTGACAAAAATGGAAAGTATACTAAAGATAATAGTACTATATCAATGTTAAGTTTCTTGACTTTGATGACTATATCGTGGTTAGTAAAGAGAATATTCTTATTCTTAGGAAACAGACACTAAACAACTTAGAGGTAAAGGAGCATCATGTCTACAACTTACTCTCCAATTATTTTAAAACAAGAATAAGTTGTGTGTGTAGGTAGAGAGGGAAAGAGTGTGTGTGTAAACATAGCAAAGTGCTAACAATTGGTGAATCTCAGGGAAGGAAGTGCCAGAGTTCTTTGTATTATTTAATAATTCTTCTGTATGTTTAAAATTGTTTAGAAATAAAAAGTTTTAAAGAGACTGCAATACGGTAGGACTGAAGTAGATGCTAAGAACTCACATATTAATTTTAAAATGTATCAAACAAAGAACTTCTAATAACTGGAAATAGAAGAAAACCTCTTCAACTTGATAAGGTATATGAAAAAGCAAACAAAAAATGACAGCAAAGTGTGGCAGGGCACTTACCTTCACCAAATAGCCATGTGCTCCCTACTTCATTTTCCAGTCTTTGTACTTTTTCTTCCTTTGCCTCACCACACCAGCTAGACCTTCCAAATGTAATGTTGAATAAAAGTGAGGACAGAAAGCACCTTTATGCTTTCTGAGTTCTCAAATGTCCTTGAAAAGATGAAGACCAACTGAAGGCTTTCCCACAATGCTTACACATATAGGGTTTCTCTCCAGTGTGAATTCTCACGTGTTTTAAAGTAAGAAGGACTACTGAAGGCTTTCCTGCACTAATTACATGCACATGGTTTCTCCCCAGTGTGAATTCTCACGTGTTTTAAAGTAAGAAGGACTACTGAAGGCTTTCCTGCACTAATTACATGCACATGGTTTCTCCCCAGTGTGAGTTTGGACGTGTCCCTTAAAGGATGAGGGAGAACTAAAGGATTTCCCTCACTTTTGACATTCATAAGGCTTTTCTCCAGAGTGCGTTCTCATGTGAATCCTGAGGTCTGAGGGCCTTCCCCAGTGTGAGTTTGGACGTGTCCCTTAAAGGATGAGGGAGAACTAAAGGATTTCCCTCACTGTTGACATTCATAAGGCTTTTCTCCAGAGTGCGTTCTCATGTGAATCCTGAGGTCTGAGGGCCACCTGTAGGCTTTCCCCCACTCCACACATCTGTAGGCTTCTCTCCGGTGTGCACTCTAGCATGGCTGATCAGGCAAAAAGAATGAAGAAAGGCTTTCGCACATGCCTTATATTCGTAGGCTTTCTCTGCACCATGGACTTTGAAGTGTTTTCTCAGTGAAGAGGGAGAACAGAAGGATTTCTCACATTCTTTACAAGCATGAGGTTTCTCAACAGTATGAGTTTCTCTATGTGTCCAAAGGTTTGAGAGAGATCTGAAGGTTCTTCCACACTTTCCACAGTCATATGGTTTTTCTCCAGTGTGAGTTCTTATATGCACTTTAAGTTTGGAAAAGTATATAAAAGCTTTTCCACATTCTTTACATGGATAAGGTCTCTCTTTGGTGTGAGCTCTTACACGGTCCCTAAAGGATGAGTAACAGATAAAAGTTCTCCCACGCTCCTTATGTTGACAGCATTTCTGTCTGTGTTGAGGCGATGCTGTGTGACTCTTCAGGGATGAAGTATCCACGATGGCTTTTTCAAACTTATAGTTTCCCTAGCATTTTATTCCAGTAGAAAGTCTCTCGTGCACATTAAGTTTTGGATCTGGTTGAAGATTTCTCCACATTGATTACTTTCATTATTTTCTGAGGACATCTCCACCACATGACTTTTGTAAAAATAGGAATCATATTATTAATAATTTATTTGTTAACAATTCATTGATGGTTTCTAATGATTAATATGATTATATTGTCACCATTCCCAGTGAATGTATGTTTTTTAACCTCTTTGAATTGTTTCAAAGTGGTATGAGTTGAATGCTCTAACAGAAGGCTCAACCACAGGTGTCATTTTCAGTCTTTTTATATATGGGAGTTTTTTTCTTGACAATTGTTTACAACTGAACTGTGTCTCAATCAACATCTGTATCACTTGTATAAAACTGCCTTGTGAAATTTTTCTGTGAATGCTTAATATCTGACATATCTACACAAATACCTCCACACACACACAATCGTGGCACTCTAATACGCTCTCCTGAGACACTATTTTCACTTGTGTAAATGTCACTCACCTCAATTGTGTCCCCTAGTTCTTGGGCGGATCTTTGGTGCCGTGGCACTTCCAGTTTTCTCCTAAAGTGAAGAACCAGGAATCATTTTTTCTGAATCATACTATACTCTGTTCACTTTGTATTTCTTTTCCAAATACATACTGTAGAGGATTTGACCCATGAATTTTAAGTTGAGTGTTATAACATTAAATAAATGGTAACAAAATTTACTTTCCTTGGAAAGAACTGGTAGGATGAAAGCAAGAAAATAAGTAGAGAGCGTGTACATTTATTTTCAAATAGTGATCCAGAAATAAACAACTTTTGTGAGGAAGAATGCACACTCCAGCAACAGACGACTTTGAGGAGTTTTAGCTGTTTCAGGACTTTGACAATAACAAGGACAAGAAGTCAAAATGGTGGACAATGTACTGGAAATACTTCCAGGAAGACTGAGACTGGTGGTGACATAAATGCCTTATTATCAGGAAAGCAACATAGAACGGAAGTGGATAAAGGCCCATGCCTAAATCCTAACTTTATACAGAAGGTCTTCCACGCAGGACAAGGACATTTGGAGAGATGGATGAAAAGTCAGACAAGGAAGCCAAGGGATCTGCCAAACTCAACATCTTCACTAAGAAGATTCACTTATTTTGCTCATTAATACTTCCAAGTATTTCCAAATGTAATGATCTTCAACAAGGGCTGTTTCTCTAAGGCACAGCGTTATAACCCTTCAGCAGGCCAAAAGCATTTAAGAGAGGAAGTAGTAGGTTTAATACATCCATGAGAAAGCTCTTAGATGATACGCTCCATAAGCAAGGTAATCATGTCATTTGAAACAAGTTCAATAGCTAGGGAATACTTGTACTCTAATTGAGTAAGTGAAGGAATGATGTCCTTACCTACTGAGGTCAGGTTCCTGAAGGTTTCCAGCATCACATCTCTATAGAGGTTCCTCTGAGCACGATCCAGCAAAGCCCACTCCTCTGGGGAGAAGTCCACAGCCACATCCTCAAACACCACTGAGTCCTAAAACATCCAATAAATTCTGATTCAACAAGGAACCATTCTTCACCAGAGTGCGCCCGAGAGAAGGTGAGGTTGTCAGCCCTGGGGACTCAGTTCGCAGCAAGTTCACACACAGGGCTGTGGTCTCCCATCTGCTCTAGGGCTCTGCCATCCTATCACTTCCCCTCTGTTTCAGCACTCACTTCCACAGTGATCCCATCCTGCCTCAGAGATTTAACAGCATCTCTAGTAAACTCATCTCTCTGCAGTTTGACTACTTCCACTCTTCCTCTCCACCTGAAGAGTCCAGAACAGTCCACAGTACACTGTTGCAATGGAAGAAACGCTGGAGAAATGAAACAATGATTTCCTCTTTAAAAACATCAATTCCTCGTGACAAAAATGATTTCACCTCCTTCACCGTTCATTATAGCCCTCAACATGACATGCAGCAAAGGGTCAGACCTGGATAAGGTTTTAATGAATGAAAACACACTGAGGCCTGGGACCATTTCCTTCTTTACCTTCAACCAACAATTTGATTCTCAGAGGCCCGACTATCCCCAACCTTCAACCCAAGTCCTGAGATAGATGTGTTTCCTTGAAGAACTCCAATCTTTTATAAACTGACAGGTCCAACTGGCAGAATAAGAATATTTTTTATGAGAAGCATTAATATTTGTATCAAATTATGTGTATCCAATTTTTCAATAAATCAACAGCAATTCCACTATCTCTATATCCTCTTCCAGGAGACAGGCACTGTATTGAGAAGTTGGGCTCAAGCATGAAAGGAAGCATAAGGATTCAGACCTTACTACAAATCCATGTTCATGGACCTGGGTGTGGCTAACACCAACCATGGGTGATGACTCCCTCACCACACAGACAGACAGTGGTCAGGAGGGGCCAGAATAGCCCTGTCTTCTCCAGAAAGAGTGCCCCTTCCCGCCTGAGAAGCAGAGGTTATGACTCCACTGTAGAATTAAATTAATTGAAGTTCTGCAGGATCCCAGAAAACCTGGCCTCTGAGAAAGTGCATCATGGCCTTGGCTTCCACATGCAGGGGTGGGAATACAGGCTGCCATGCTGCAATACAGCTGCTGCCACTTGCCTGTACGATAAACAGCAGTAGAGCTAGGGTGCTCCAGAATGGGAACTATCTTCTTGTGAGGTCGGTGAGTGAAGTCTGCTGTCTGTGGCATCCCCAATTACTCTTGGTATACTGGTATCCAGTGTTGTCTAACCACAGCCCTCTGTAAGTCAGTAAGCAAGTAAGTAAATAAATAAATAAACCGAAATCCCATAAGTGCTGGAATGGGTGAGTACACTGGATGGCCCCAAACACCAGTATGTATGAAACACACTGCAACAAAGAATCAAGAGAAGGAATCATTCACTACTAACTCCACTACTATCTATGTAGAGAGTTCAAAAGAGGGAAGAGTAAACAATGTACGGCTTAGGCATGGCAAAGGGATGCCAGTGGACCTAGCTAGAAATTCTCTGCTTCGGCTCTCCTGAGGAGTGCCTAGCCTGCAGATGGTGATAACAAACACGGTGGGCAGAGCTAATAAAATCTCACAGAAATGAAGCCAGAGAACTGACCAAATCTTACCTGAAGACCACAGGACTTGTAGACTTTTCTAGGGTCTACAATGAGCCATTCTAGACTCTAACCTTCACTGTACAGGGATCAGTTACTTGCCACCAATTGCTAACTGTTTTAGTAACTATGCACTATTTTCCAAACCAAAAAGTAGAAACACAGAGTCTTAAAGTTCATGTATGCTAAATAGACAATGTGACAGACTATTTGAAATTGGAACCAACCTCCAAAAACTTGGGGGGAAAATGGTCACTAGTTGCAATACTGATTTTGGCTCCTTATAAGTGCAAAGTCCAACTATTTTTTGAAAATTGAGACTCTTGGAGCACTGAGTCTAACTTCTTTACCTGGAAAAGCTGTAATAGTAATAAAAGAAAATATGATTCAATACAAATAAGTAAGAAGAATAAGCTGTAATACATAAACACAAAAGTCATGACAGTGGTCACCTTGAGGGCAGGAGGGAGATGAGATCAGGGAGGGCACCAGGGGAGACTAAAAACTGTCCATGGCTTATTTGCTGATCTGGGTCATAGATCTGAGAATGTGTACTTGTATGTGTTATCATTATTTAAACTTAACATAAAACTTTTGCAAGTAAGATGTATATCACAATCAAATATTAAATCATTAATTAAGCTTGCAAAGAACATAATTTACATATATTTATTTTATCATTTAAGGAAAACTGGTCACACAGCGGTATCTTATTGACCTTAATAAAAACCAGGGAGGTCGCATGTTGAACCGAGAGGAGCTGAAGGACTCGTTGATAGCTGAACAACAAAGTGTACTGCAGGGTATCAGCCCTGGGACCTTTGGGGAAAGAAAATAAAAAACGTAATAAATATATCCATCAGCTGTAATGGACTGAATGTTTGTGTCCTCCCAAAATCCATATGTTGAAATCCTAACCCCCGAGGAGATGGTATTAGGAGGTGGAGCCTTTGGGAGGTAATTAGGTCACAAAGGTGGAGCCCCATGAATGGAACTAGTGCACTAAGAATAGAGATGAGATAGATTCTCTCTCTCCCCCATGAGAGGACACAGTGAAAAGGCGGCCGTTGTCTGCAAGCCAGGAAGAGAGCCCACATCAGCAACCAAAGGGGCTAGCACCTTGATCTTGGACATCCAGCCTCCAGAATGTGAGAAATAAATGTCTGCTTGAGCCATTCAGCCTGTGGTATTTGTCAGAGCAGCCAGAACTAAGACACTGGGTTTTACTCAAAGAAATACTGACAGGATGTTCAAGAAGCTAATAAAATCGGTACGTAGGGTTGGGCTAGGGCAAGAGGCTTAAAGTGGAAGATGTGCTAAAAGTAAACCATAAGGCAGACTTTTAAACATCATGTTGATTCTTGAAACTCTGTACTTATTATTTGAAAAAAAGCTAATTTTATTATACTTTTTAAAGAG